AATTCAGGTATTCACTGCATCGCCATTTTTAAAAAGTTACCTTACCTAGTTTAATGCTCCTGTTTAATTTTTCTTGCATGTGCATCATGCATCACGATAAAAGAGCTGGAAATTAGCAACTTGAATTTACAAATCTTACAAACTTCTTTGTTTGACATTTTAAGAGGAAACGACTATTTAAAATCTGTTTAAAACCTCCAAATTATTCATTCCGGAATTTTCCCATCCAATCAAAAACTTTTTATTTATTTCAGAAACGCCTTTATTCAATATTGAACATTTCCGACCAAAAAATTCGACCTATCTACCGACGCAATTTTTTTTAAAGTGAATAGAAAGACGGCAAACAAACTCCATTTTAAAAAAGGCCTTTCGGGAATTTTTTAACCTCACTGAACATCTTTAAAAATATACTCTTAATAATTGTGAAAGGGATACGTCACACGGATACTTGACGGAGAATAACTTCTTAAAGAATAAACTACATCAAACCACACCCAACAATCTTTTTGAGCATATAAATAAAACAACATCATGAATTCAATTTCGTCATTACAAGACCGCCCAGGCGTTTCATACATTAATATTATTTGTCCTTTTGATGAATCATTAACACTTTAAGTAATAGTTATACCAAGGTGTATTGAAATGGGATTGAACCGCGGAAAAGAGTTTAAATCCAATATTTGAGTATCATCAAAGTCTCAGAAAACATTTGATTCTATTCAATGTTTTCCTACATTAGAAAACATTTGAAGTCATCTAATGTTTTCCCAGATCACCCTTACTAATGTGTTCGGAACCTTTCAGTTTTTGATGTTCTGCAAATTATCAAACCCGATGAGTTCAGAGTAGCTCTGACAGTGGCCCTGGCGAGAGTTAGCGAGACTTCAGTGAGATAGGGTAACTTATTCACGGAAATGTGACTAGGAAGTGACAAGAACGTGGAGACATGGTAAACAGAAAAGTTATGTTGCGTTTTAGTTTTCACCACTCTATAATATCATTCTGTAGAAATGTACTTCAATCGGTCTTTCTTGAATTCATCCAAGTTTAAATTATAAGTATTCTCTATGTTACAATTTTATGCTGTCATGAATTAAAATTTCTTTTTGGACAAATATTTTGCATGGGAACCAGGAATATAATTTTTTGGCGTCAGATTAGCAAATGAGACACCAATGCAACTTTGACAGACAAATCAGATGAATGAGAATTGCATTATGGGTTACTATTTGAATACTACAGGATTTTTACGCTTGATAAATTCCTTTATTGTACTATCGGTGAATTCAATTGTCAGGTGGATTCTCTGGCCAACACACGTGATCACAAGTATAGTTATGTAAAACTGTTTTGACCATTTGAATGCATAAAAAATGCTGCTCGTTTTCCTTACCCTTGAAGTGCTGGTGTTCTGAACTTGACACTAACTACGTTTACATTTTATTAAACATATTCTTCTCTAGTTAACAACAAATTTAAAAACCCTGATATTTTACGTAGTTTCTAATGTTTGCATTTAGTTCATAAGACCATTTTCTTTATTTTGCACTCCACTGACATGATCATATATTGACCTGAAGCACGTGTTCGAAGTAACATGTAAAAATGTATTTGGCGTAAACGTATTCAATCAACAATCGGTCAGTTGCTCATTGTAAGATCCTCTGTGCGCATTAATAGCAATGGCCATATAAGGATATAAGGCAAACAAGGGTTTGTCAGTGCAAATGACATTACACATTTTTTTTGTAACAGTGTATCGGTCGCTAGTGAACTGTAATTTTTGCAGTAAACTATGAGAAGATGCATTAATTGTTATCCACCCCCCTTAAGCCACCCATTTCTGTTGAAAATCATGAAAGTCTTTCAGAAAGGTGTGGAAACACATTTTTCACAGGACATTTTTCAGAAGAAACAGATTATAGCAATTTTCCGTGTACTGCCAATCTTATTTATAAAACCGGTTCTACCCTATAACCTTTGAATAGGTAAACCTAAACCACGTGTCTTGAATTTAAATCACAAAAAACATTAGTAGGGGTGCAGATGTCAGCGATAAATTCGAGAAAACATTACATTTTATTTGATGTTTTCGCAAAGATCAGCAATAAATTCGAAGTAAACATCTGTGAGACCATTGGAATGCAATTCTTCTTCTAAAACGTGTTTCAAAAACATATATTTAATAGTATTCAAGCTCAAAGTCCATCAAACGATGCAAATTGGAACAGAAATCACACGGACCTCTAACAAATCAAAGGTAGGATCAGGTGCCATTCCGACCGGTCACAAACGCTCTGTGCTCCTTTTCATGATTGGGAAGTAAAGGAAAAATCCATCGATAATTTAATTTGTATATAAGCAATTAGTATACAATTAGTATGAAAAACGTCAGTCAGCATTTGACTTAATGATAAATTATATTTTCTTACAAAATAATTGTATCGACCATGTATGCTACATGGTACTTGATCCCACCTCGAATGTTTTAGAGGTCTGTGTATTGTTTGAAGGAACTTTTTCGCTTGAATACTGTTTGTTATTTCTTCTAATTTCTTTAATATTCAAAGATCTCTGAGTGGCTAAAACATGATTAAATGACCAGTTACAGTTGTATATAACAGCATTGGAGACTTATGTTACTATTTGAAAATTCTAAAATGCATTTTGAGATGAAGTTTCTAAAAATAAATTGATCTTCTACAAAACAATGTTATTGACTTAAAGTAGCTAATATTATTTGTTGTTAAAATAAATAACAACAAAACCCAATATTTTAATTATAAATGTTGAATATCTAAATGACCTTTCATAAATGTTAAGAGGTAACAATGCCTTGAATATTGATATACTTTATTGTAGAACAAATTTTAAAATAATTATTTTCAAAATTTGCTTTGTCAATTTCTCTCAAAATAATATAATAAATCTGGTCCTTTCATTCTGTCAATCCATAGTTATATCGACCTGACAGATACTTCTGATATTTAGGAGGGCCATTTTTGCTCTGCTAAATTTTGCATCGCTCTATGGACGTTTGATCTTGAATACTGTTCGTTATCCCCAATTAGTTCGTTGCTTTCGACAAAGATGACAGTTACTCTCGCGGTGAACACAATATAAAACTGTCTTTGAAAATGAAAGTGATATTTAACTGATGAGACAAGTGTATAATTATCTTTTTCAACACAGTTATTTTTTTAAATCGCAAAAGTATAAAAACACCATAGGTATAAATGATATAAAATAAATTTAAATCGAAGAACTTAGAACATTATTAATATCCTTACCGTTGTCATCAGTAGGATTACTAGATTTGTTCCCCATTGACAGTGTAAATCTGGTCCATTAAATTTTTACGATGTCAGAAGCATGATGTTATTCTTGTTTAGTGAAGACAAATATTATGATATATTTTGCATTATAATAACGACGACACAATCTTGGACAACTGTTAGAGTTATGTTAATCTCCAATTATCTTAATAAATATATAAGAACTACTTTCGTTTTAATTTATCTCCGGAAGTACGTTTTTTGGGCAAGTGCCAAGTCTAGTTCGACAAAGAGTAGAATGCCTTAGCCTAGTACCCGAGGCCTTCCGAGTGCTTCGTGCTTGCACTCGGAAGGCCTTGGGTACTAGGCTAAGAATGCCTTGGCCTACAACACATGAATCTACTTGTGACTTTTCATAAGGTGTCAAATTATCTGTAAAAGTATTGTCATTTTTTATAGGACTTCTAGATTAATAAACAGTTAAAAGATATGGAAACAGGTTTAGTTGATGTACTAATTTTTTGTATGAATAACTGTATCGGGATCGATATCTCCGTTTGTATTCGGATTGGTTTTGATTTTAGTTTGCGTTTATGATATCCGGTCATGATACGGATTTGGCGGACTTAAGAGATTGTCAACATGTTTGACTGACTTTTGTATATTTGATCGATTATAACCCGTCAACGTGTAAGTTTATTTGTACTGCATCAATTATCGATTTATTCTATTTAATTTTCTGGGAATTTATTTCACTGTGTAACTTTTTTCATAACTTGATTTGTTGATAGGTTGAAACGAAATAAATGTTGCAACGCTGACGTATAGTTATCGCCAATAAGAGTAAGGTATAAGGTGTGAGAAATCACAACACATGTGGATGGTCCAAAGCGCGCACTTTAATAATACAACCGAAAACAACAATAATACACATAACAATATTACAAAGGTGGAAATAATAATTCCGGAGAGTGCCAATGTCTGGCGCTACCATTTTTCTATCTTTTCTTTTTTTTTTACTGACAATTTTTGTCTAATTTTTTTTTTAGATTGGCAAAAGGATATTAAACTAACTGCGTGTAACACTAAACCTAAATGTTAAACAACACCTTCACTGGGTAGACTGCCCTCAGGTGTGGGGATTATTCTGCCCCATGTTCCAAACAAAGCTACACATACATTTACAGTACAGCATAAAACAAATGTCAGTACATCACAAAGTCTGAGTATTTCTGAGGCAGGACGCGCTGTCGTTGTGGTCTGGCCGAGGAAGACGCATTGTCAACTCCGGTAACTTCAGTGTCCTGTTGCTGGTCATGAGAAATGTGTTGGTCACTCTGAGGTTCTATTTGGTCATCATTTCTGCTATTGTCAGGTATATCAGGTGGATCGACATACGACGCTGGAATCGTGGATATTGCTTTTGGAATAAGGTTAATATCTCCCACACTCAGCTCAGGTTCTGGTGGTGGTTTTTGGGATGGGCATTTAGCTCGTTCACTATACGGGTGGTTCTGTTGACGGAGATCATGTTGAGCTTTGATAAGGTCTTGATCCGCGAGTGGAATCTGAGTATTGGAAAACTGATCCCTTTGTAGCCACATCTCTCTGACTGACATACCCCTTTTCGTGAAACGCGTGTTTAGCCGAGCTGTGATGAGAGAGAGAGTTAGATTTGACACTATGTTGTTTGATGGTCAAACCGTAGTATTTCCTCCTCTAGTTCTTGGACTGTCCTCTCTGCCACAGGGTTCTTGTTAACGTTCTTAGGGCGACCAAGTTCGATTTGATACGGTGTCGCTCAAGAAGTTCGTCGTTTACTAGGGCCTTAAATCCGGGGGCTGAGTCTGTTCGTATAGCAGCAAATGGACCATCAAGAGGGTGAACGTCGGCTAACAGTTGAAGGATGGCATCACGAAGTTTCTTGTTGCGTTCAGACTCGAGTAATTTGGTAAATGTGTAAGAGGTGATGCTTTCTCGCAGCACGAATACCATTTGCCGTTCACGTCTAAGAACATCAGCGGCAAAAGAAGTGCTGACTGTTTCTGGAGGATCAGAAGAGCTCTGTTGCTGACAAAACTTTGGCATTTTCTGTAGGAAGGCACATTGGTGACACGTACTTGTGACCACTTCTACAGCTTTGTCCATGTCTAAGGCGTAGAAATATCGACTGACAACACACTTGAGTTGGTGACTAGAGGGATGGTCAAGTTTAATGTGCAAAGCGGTAAGTAAGCCGTTCAGGACCCGTCTTGGGATAATGATAAAATCTCTGCTTGGCGCAAATGGGACGTTCCGCTTTACTACCAATAAACCGTCTTTCGAGATTGATGCAACATTGAGGTATCTTTTGACGTCTCTCACGTTCGTAAGTTTCTTTGATGGACGTGTTCCCTGACGTAGATGGGCCACTGTACGGCGGAGGTCAGAGCACCCAGATTGAATTGAGAGCCATGCTGCCCTGCTCGTAAAGGGTAGATTGGCTATCCCATCAAGAACCTCTTTTGTAGTTACATGGCGAACAACAGATTCCTCTTGGCGATGGTCGAAATTACAGATCTGGCATGAGGTGTTGTTACATTCAGAGGCATTTCGGCTGGCAAAGTCGGAAGGCAAAATAGCTTGACCGGAAATGTGCCTGGTGGATATTTGAAAGCGGCTTGCAGTTGATAGGAACTTGGAGACTCGGGGGCTGGCTGAGAATTCTCCTCTGCAAAGCTTCTCGTAAGCATGAACACAAGGTTTGCTGTCAGTTAATACACAAGCCGGAAGCCCTGATTGTATTATATATGGACTGTAATTCTTAATAGCTGCGAAAATTGATAAGGCTTCAATTTCACATGGTAACCACTGTCGCTGGTTCTTGCGGAGTTTTGCACTAAAAAAACCTGCCAAGAGGGGTTTGCCGTTCCTTTCTACATAAAGGGTGGCACCAAGTCCATATTTCTTTAAGGCTCCATCTGTAACAATCCACAGTTGATCACTCGGTCGTGGAAGGGTAATAGATTTATGTGTAGTTAAAGCCTCTTGTGCTCTATGGAAGGCTGACAGCAGATCATCTGTCCACACAATTCTGTCCTTGGAATTAAGGCCAGCTACTATGTCATCGAGTGGTGAGAGGAGTTGTGATGTATCCTGGATAACACGTGATAAGACCTTATAAACACCAATGAATGAGCGAAGAGACGTTACTGTTTGGGGAGTCTCGCAAGTAGAAAGAGTGGAAATGCGATGTTTACTTGCACTAATTGTGCCGAGATGCCAGATCCAACCAAGAATTGTAGCCTGAGCTGGTGCTGGTGCGATTATTGTCTTTGATGTGGATAGATTAAGGCTGCTTCTATGTAGGGCTTCAAGGACTCTTTCCCAGTTACGCATAAGATCCTCAGGTGTGTTGCCCCCACAATACAGGTCATCCGCGATTTTGGCTACAACTCCTTCCTGAACGAGGTGACCAAGGACTCTGCAGGTTAGTTCCTCTAGTGCAGTTTCTGAACCCGGCATTCCCATAGCGGATCTCACATACACTCGCACTCCACGGAATGGTGTAGAAACGCCACAGTATTTCATTGACTCCCTCGCCAAAGGAATTTGGTAAAATGACTTTGTAAGATCCGTTATAACGATGTACTTCCATTGGGCTATTTGTCTTAATGTTGAGTCTATATCTGGCATAAGGGATGGCTGCGGTTTGCTATAACGTCCGACGTCAGCAAAGGCAGTCACTAGCCTGAATCCACCATTCGGTTTTTTAATCAGGAAGGATGGATTGACGTATTCTGCAGTAATGCCAATATCTTCAGGGCGTTTAAAGACGCCAATACTTTCAAGTTCATCAAATTTTTCTTGAAGAGTGTCGAGTTGATGTTTGGAGTACTTAGGGACTCTTCCCTTCCTTTGGGGTGGTTGAACGGGTCCCATATTTACTCGGCTTCTAAGGGTCCAACTGCGCCATTATAGCCTTGAAAATTTTGGTTAAAAACGCGGTCATACTTGTTTACAAGTTCCCTGAATTTGGATCTTATTCCTTCAGGCAGCAGCTTGTCTGGGTCAACATTTACCTGGTCAGAATATTGAACGTGAGAACTATATTGTGTCTGTTTTACTATGGTGAAGTTGAAGAGCTCTTTTCTTCATGCACAGATGTAGATCGGACTTTGCAAAAGTGTTCGTTGCGTTTGAGCACACGTGGCGTGCTTGTGAGATTAGGTACACGCAATTTTCCAGCCACACTTTGAAGAAGACACGGTTCTGGCCATTCCTCTGACTGAGTTGCGTAGCTGCTTTGATGGGGTTCAATCGCAAATGTAGAATCGGTAGGAGCCATGTAAGTTGGTAGCTCAATCTCAAATTTGCCAGGTCATATTGTTGTTGATTCTGGTGGGGCACGTGCAATATGTGCTCGTCGTACTGCACGCCTTACCAAGACGAGTCAATCGTATGTGACACAGAGTCTGCATATTTCAGTTATGGCACGAGCCTTAGCCATAAAGTGTCGGTCCTGCGAAGGCAGAAATGCTCATTTGCTGAGAAAGTGTTTGTCTGGTCGTCCTGCTGTCTTACATAAGGGACAAGACTTCTGTCTGGACTGTTGTTGAATTTGCGAGGTGGTGCGTGACTGTTTCTGGAACCTGCTGACCGAGGCCCTCATGGACTTTGCATCTTCACTCATGCGGAGTTCCTCCACGAGCGAGTCCAGAGCCTGCGAAATTTCAGGCTTAATAGACGCAAGGGTTCTAGCCCGCAACTCTGTTCCATATCTTTGTTTTTCAAGCTTGGGGAGGCCAGGGTGAATAAGCCTTAACCAGGTAAGAACGACAAAATTTTCTAGTGATGGGCTGAGCTCCTCATCATCCTTTATGGCTTCACTGTGATGTGTTATCCCCATGTCTTTTCTAGGTTAGTTATCTTCCACGAAGGCTGTGAGTCTTTGGAATAAGTCTTCTGGGCGTTCATTAGAGTCAAAACGAATAGAGTCAAAGTCTATAAAGTGAGCCCCTGTCGTTTGGAAACCATAATGAAGTCGTATAGTTTGCCAAATTTGATCTATAGATGTAGAGTTTTTCACAATGGTATTACGAGATATTGTAGGGCAATAGTTCGCAATCTGGCCTAGTATCAATTCCAAGATATTTACCTTTTGCTCTTTCATAAGTCGACTCGCTTCGGGTATGTTATCGTCATCATCAATGAACCCGCGGTACGGTGTACTCTTTGTTTTTTCTTCCCACCAGGTTCCTGATACAAGGAATGGAGCAAAATTTTTGTCTAAGGATAGGGTATACAACAAATTTTGACGCCAATTTTCAAACGAAGTTACTGTCTCAGTCTTTGTTAAGCACCACTGTTTTGGTGCACGTGGTGTGCTCGCCGTACTGGAAAATGGGTCACAACCTCCAAAATAGAATATGCACTGTACCGTTCACAAATGCCCGCAAGAACAGCTCCGTTCCGATGTGACTTCTCTGAAAACCACTTCCTAGAGTTGTGAGTAAGATTACGCTGCCACCACGCCAATAAGAGTAAGGTATAAGGTGTGAGAAATCACAACACATGTGGATGGTACAAAGCGCGCACTTTAATAATACAACCGGAAACAACGAGAATACTCATAACAATATTACAAAGGTGGAAATAATAATTCCGGAGAGTGCCAATGTCTGGCGTATGATAAGACTGACTGTGCCGGACTTGCGATTTGCACAAAACAATAACATAACAAATTTATTCTTCATAACGCTGACGCAGCTAGTCAAGTGTATCACGGATAAATTTATTTTACGTTTAAGAGGATATTTATAACACTCCTACAAAAATGATGCAGAGGTGAAGATATCAGACAGTGTTCTTTCTAAAAAAAAATTAAATTCAAAACACGTTTCGAATTAGCTTGCAGATATGAATATATGGAATATCTCAGCTGCCTAATGTGGATTCCGTTCATTAAAATGCTTAAACTTGAAGCATTATATGCTTGTAACTCTGAAGATTAAGCTAATGCATAAACAGGATACGTTAACATTATATGGTGTATAACTTAAACAAAACATGCTGATACTTCTTACTGTTATTGTCTGACACTATTACAGTCCGGATTACCATATATACCCGCCTATAATTCGGTCCGCCTATGTGATTGTCGGTTGTATTTTTTAGGTTAATTTGGAGGGATTTGCCAATAACCCGCTTATAAGTCGGTACAACTTCTTGCCAGAATCGTTTGACATTTTAAGGATGAAATCTTCTGATCATTTTACCCCAAGCGAGTCTTCGTACTTAAACATGTCATAAAATTCAAACTGATAACAATTTACAATAAAGTTTTTAATGTTTTTATTTTTTCATATGTTACATGTTTAACTATTTATATTTTTAAATAAAAAATCTTTCTACGTTATATTCATGACCAAGACGTGTGTTAAATTACGATATTTACGACATAGGCCTAAGAAAGTTGACACTGTCTAAGTGAAATTGAGAGGGGAAGATTAAAGATGGAATCGCCCGTTTCAAAGCGACAGGAATGTCGAATGGCCAACTGACAGAAATGTTAAAACATGAGAAATCGCCGATATCATAATTAGGCCTACATAATTGGGAGTTGAACTATGTTCATACTCCCCAAGTCGTCACGCAGTTTCTAGCGCAGTAAATCAACAATGAATTATATAGCGTCCGTCGTGGTGTTTCTGTGTCGGCCAATTTATTCCCCTGTGATATTCAATACAAACTCGTACCAGTCTATATAAACTCGAAGAAACTTCCGCAATAAAAATAGTCTATCTCATTTTTCTGAATTAATCTAATTTTCATAAAAGATTTGAAAGTTAATGAAATAGAATTTTATTTAACTTAATTTGGATAGCATATTTTTGTCATCTCTCTTGAGAAATGACACATAAATTTTGATTTCCGTATGAAAAAAAGTCCCAGTTTTCCGTCATTTATCATTCGGCAATCCTCCGCTGACTCCACTACGCTCCATTACAAAAAGTGCGAGGTCATCCAAGGAGCAACAACTGGTCTTACTGGTTTGACAATGACGCGATTAAAGGAACGCTAAGGTTTAAACCAACTTCTTTTAATTTGTTGCAGCAATAAAGAGACAGAACAACGTTTCTTTAAAATAAATACTATGGAAAATATCACTGTCAGACATTTATTTGCTCTGACAAGTAAAATGATCTGTTAGACTGGAAAATTTTTGTCAGACCAGATACATGCAACTCATTTTTTTACGTTGGTAAAGGGAACAAATAATAGCATTAAATTTTGTTGATATTCGATCTCATAATTTCAAATGACATTAATTTTGCATCCTTAATTTCATGAATTTATCAGCATTCAGTTGGTCACGTGTACAACACTAAATCTGAACTTGAACAATGTCTATGTACTTGCATTCCAGTATTACCTTAAAAATGTATCATTTGTTTTTAATATATAAATTAGTTAAAATTAATGAATACATGCGTATACACGGACACAATGGTATAATAATCCCATTGATCGATCTGTGAGAAAGATAGTTCCTCATTATTACAACGGTTTTTTTCTTGTAGTAGCTCGTTAAACTATGTCTGATTTTTAATTACATTTGAATCAAATCAAAATCACAAACTTAAAAGTGTCACTCGCGAGGCGCAGTTGTACAATAGTTTGCTCTAGAGATTCAAAGTAAGGTGTTAAGGTAAGGTTTGCGTCTCCCTCCAACTCATATTTTTTTTTAATATGCACATATGCTATATATCAATTTATTCAGGGAGATTAGCTTCATCATTTAATATGATTTTCAAAGATATTGCCCGTCCCATTTTTTTAGTAAAAGACGCCAAATTTAACGTATTTCATATTTCACCTCGAATATTATTTTCATTGAAAAAATTGATTTATTTTATAAATTATCAAACTTTTATAATTAAAATGACCTGAATTGGTATAATTCATGCTTCTTTTATTTAAACTTTTAATTTTCCTTTATCAAAAATGTGAAAAATTGGGTAAAAAAGAAGATTTTTCAATTTTCCTTGATAAAGTGAAACCGTTGCCATGGCAACAAAAATATAAAAATCAACGTTTTACATATCTACCGATTCCATCAAAATCCATGAAGTTATTAATTTGATCATTTTCATTAATTTGAACTAAAAAAATATGTATGTCCCCAATATTATTTCCATGGAAACAGGCTATATTATGGGTTTCGAACATACAAATCGGGCTTTTTCTACACTTTTAAAGACAACATTGATATCACCTTGTCATGGTGAATGTTAAAGACTGAATGTTATTTTGATATTGTTTTTAGGCATAAATTGGCCAAATATATTCAAAATAAAACTCCTTCTGTGCCACATGATGGTCTAAAAATTTATTCCATTGAAAAATTCTAGTATTTATGGCAATCTTTACAACTGAATATTCTGATGAAATTGTCCATGAATTATACTGCAACACCTTTAAAAGTACATGTATATGTATATAAACATACTTCAGAACATGTTGCAACTAAACTAATTAAAATGCTATGAATTTGACCTCATGCTGATTTAGTTATTCCAACATGTAGTAACTTCTAGACTTCTTTGTAGCAAAATATCTTTATTCAGTTATGGCTGGTGACTGTCATTATACATGTATGCCATTTTTTGAGTGAAATGTTGTAAGTATTGCATCCACGAAGCTGCTGTTTTTATAAATAAATGATTTCTTTACTTCGAAGAGTAGAAATGCTATCTTTAAAGTAATGTTTGTTTGCCCTCTCTTGACTCAGGGTAAAATTATTGGGTCGGTAGGTGAGAAAATCTTCAACAACATTTTTTTAAGGGGGATAAGAAAACTAAAAAGAAAAAAATACGGCCCTGCATTGAAAAAAAGTTTTCAGTCTGGTCATTTTAGTCAGTCGGTCTGGAGAGGCCGAC